TTTTTTTTTTTTTTTTTTTTTTTTTTTTTTTTTTGATTTTTTTTTTTTTTTTTTTTCCTTTGCACTACTTTCTATGCTGGAGATTGAGAGAGACTTCATACTGTGAATGTTTACTAATGTAACAGTTCAATGACAATCATTGGAACAATAATTTCTTAGTCCTATTTTATTGTGCTCTTCTTTTCTTTGTGTGAGACTAAGTGCCACGCAGATAACAGCACAGATTCCCTTCTCTTTTTAAATCTCAATAACTGATCTATCTGCAAAGGGGCTATGACGTTGAATTTAGCAATTGAATCTTTTGAAATCGGTCTGTTACAATGATGCTTCTGAAACCATCCTATTTTTAAATATTCTCCTGCCTTCAAATCCAGAATAATTTAACCAAAGCTAATGCATGCACTGAAAGAGTTCTTGAAGAAATAAGATGCCCAGCCGCTACCGTGATTATGGCTTAAGAGCTTTCTATTAAATGTGCAACATAAATGATAGATCTATTAAATTTATTTCTTTGTGCAGCTACATACGAGCAGAGTGTGGGGATTCACCTCAGAATTTGGTATTCTATTTGCTAAAAGTGGTATAAGAGGGAATTGTGTCAAAACATTTGGTTTTGACATCACGTGACATCCTTATTATATTAAAGGCATTTATGACACATGTAAGCGTTTAACTCTAGAATGTGAGGTAACAGCCAGTGATTGGACTTGCGATATGAACTTATGATGAGATAAAGGTTAGCAAACTCAGAATACATGTAATAGGCCTATTCTCTCCAGTGTTTCTTCGACTTCTTTTCTTTATAAAATGGTTGTCCTGAGGTTTGGGCAAAAGACACTATGTAGGTTATCTCAGTACATAACAAACTTTGACAACTGTGAACTTTGAAAAAAAAAAAAAATAATAAAAGACCTAGAATAACTTTTCTTAAGCTTCTCAATCCCAGGCCATCCTTTGATAATAATATAAAATTTCCCTCTCTTTTAATGATATTTGAAATTCAGAGTCAATCCAATGTTAGGTTTAAAGGCCAAGCTACTTCCTCCCCCCATTTCGCCCCCACCACTGATAGAGAAACACCTCTTGAGAACACCTTTGGAGAGAGAAAAGCAGCAAGCAGAGATGTTGATTGAATGTGTGGACCCAAGGTCTCTGGTGGGCAACAGAGAGCGACAAAACAGACGTGCCATCTTGTAACAAGACTTCAGAGATGGCATTATCATATACTTTGGATTTAGAAGCAAAGACGTAACGAGCCTTAGACCAGCCCTACGGGTCTGTTTAGGTTGGCCACCATTCGTTTGGAAAAGTCACCCTGTTAAACTCTGCACCCCAGTTTCCTCAGTAGTGAAAAAGAGGGCACATACAGCATCTGTTACATCAGTTGTTATGGGAAAGCAAATGATAACGTGTGAAAACTCTCTGAAGTAAGTTCCATATAAACGCCTGATATTATGTCTAAATTGCTTAATCATCCTCTAGGAGATAAGAGATGGAGAACCCGTGAGTTACATCTGCTTTATTAGGATGTTGGGAAAATCATGGGTGATTTCTTTAATTTTGGGCTCCTTACAAGAACTTGATTTGCAGACACACAAGATAGCCTATCATTAAATAACGGCTGCAGTTTCTTTTGGAGGAAGATTTCAGGCATGTCATGGCAGAATGGTTTGGCTATGTTTGGAATGGAAAGCATATTGTATATCAGTGTTTTTACAACACCTTTTTAGGGTTTTTTTTTTTCAAATGTTTTATTTTTTTATTTTTTTATTCCTTGACCAGAAATTGAACCGTGACCTACTGGTTCATGGGTTGACACTCAACCACTGTGCCACACTGGCTGGGCTACAACACCTTTTTGAATCAGAAAAGTTATATTGCATTTAATTGACATGTGTTAGAATTAATAATTCTGAGAATCCTGGAAATAGAGTCATTTGGGGATCCTGGGATTTTCCTTTACATGGTTTTCTTTAGGGTAAAAGAGTCAAGAAGTGACAGTCATGGGCTTTCAAACGGTTATCACTAACTGTCTTTTCCTGCAAGATGCAGTAATTTTAGGATGTCTGGATCTTGAGTCCACCCTGAGAAAGAAACATTTAAGCTCTCAAGATGTACAGGGGCCCTTCTGTGCAGAACACAGAATGTGTGAAGGTAGTTATGGATTTATAGCATTTTTCCAAGTCAAAGCTAGGCAAAATGAATCAGCACCGTTTGTGACAATTTTATACTGAGAAATGTGCTTCCAGGGGCTCTTTGTAACTAATTTAGGCAACTTCATCTTCTTAGAGGCCACCATACACGTTTGGTTGTACGGTAAAAGAGAAGCGACCCATTTAGAGGTTTGAATTCCTGGGATCCTTCAGTTGCTTTCCAGATGGTAATAAATGTTACCAAAAGTACAATACTTGAGAGTCATCTTAATCAGAATCTTTTCAAGGGTGGATGCAGTGTTCTCTCTTGCAATTGCTTGAAAAGGAAACAGTTACGGAGAAGAGGGGAGGGCTAAATATTCCTTTAGTTTCTGTGAAAGGGAGCTTGTGGATGCCAGAGGAACGACAGCTGGCCTGGGAGCCCAGGGCTGGCTCGTAGACCACGGGCACATCATTCCGTCTCCTTATTTCTCAGTTTTTGTTTGTTTAGTGTAAAATCATTGGGCTACATTTTCGCTTGATTCCTTCTAGCACCAAAATCCTGTGGAGTCGAAGGAAGTATCAGACTAGCTTGATATTCTCTTAAGTACCCCTCAAGTCATACTGGCCTTGATTTTAGAGTTAAGTAATAAGAACAAATAGTTTTAAAGCCTTACCATTAGGTGACATGCAGCACCGGGAGTTTAGGACTGAGATTTTAGGATGTAAACTAAACTGAGTGAACAGGATGTACTTTGAAGCTATTTATTCTAACAACTTCTAAAGGAAAGGGATTCACTTAATAAAAAAAATATAACTGCTCAGTCTCCAGTTGGATCCAAATGCTGAAAGTTGGTAAGTAAACATTTTGATTCCTGGCTTTGTGATAGTACAGCCTTGTCAGTAAACAGAGTGTTCCGACCTGTGCTGGAAAACTCATTTCATGCTCAGACACATGCAGTATTTCACAGTGCTGCTGCTCTCCTTGTCAGATTTGTTTTGTTAAACCGGATCGCTGAAGCTTTGTGAAACAGCTTTTCATTAAGAATGAGTTGAAATAGAATCCGATATATGAATAAGAAACATCTAAGCTATCTATTTCTTTTTTTCATTTTTAAGAATGTCCACATAAACCAGCGGGAAATTGTTTTTAATTGCACCGGAATCATAAACATTAGTACCCCCACAGCCCAAGAGAATCAGAAATGATGTTCTCCATTGTTGATTTTCAGGACTGTGATGCGTCTTCAGCACTAACATTGCAGCCGTTTCTAGGTAAAGTGGGAGATGACGCTTAAGTTTGGTTTACATTTTATTAAATGAACATGTGATATGCTCCTGTGCAGGGTGCAGAGTATAACATCCCTGTTTATATGTTTGTTTGTTTTTTATTGATACAGTTTAGAATGATTACGGGTTGTCATTCAGTGACAATGGGGCCTGTTCCAGGAAATCTTCCTGACCCAAAAGTCATTCTGAATTCTGCAAGGGACATTTGGTGTGGACAAAAAGGTACCTCTTGGTTTTCGTGCCTGCAAAGAAACTTAACTAAGCACAGGGTCTTCCAGACCAATGTCACTACTACAGGTTAGAAAATAATCCTACTTTCCAGTATGGAGATCAGGATTCCTGTGTGAAAGGAGGTTGATCTGAAGTGGTTTGTGTTCAAGATTGAAGAGCTGTTTTTGCAGTATTTGGGAATATGTACTTCTGAAATGTAAAATAAGATTAGGACTGTGATAGGAGTTTTATTTCTGACTCGGTTTTCTGTTTCCATAGCAGTCCCAATTCCTTACAGTATCTTCATAAAAAAGTATGCTAATACATATAAGACCATATGGCCCAATTTGAGGTTCAGAAAATATGGTTGGTTTATTTATGGGTAAATAAATTAATCCCAAGGCGTGAGTTGGGTGCTTTGAAGAACATAGCATATATTTAATGAGCTGTGGCTCTAAGTGAGACTCTAGCACCCCATTTCAGACCGGCGGGTAATACTAAGTGGGAATGGAATAGGAATAGATGTATAGAGCAAATAATGTGCTAAGGAAGGTGTCTCGCTGTTGCCT